TATAAAATATAAACGATTAACAGGTGCAAGCGTATGCAGAGTTTCTATTTAGGCTATAACACGTGTTTGCAGCGTTGAGCAATGCAGTGCTGAAATTTGCGTGCTCACGAATCCTCTCATTATAACACACGAATTGTAGACATTATGAAAGATTCATTATGCACATATGTATGGTGTTATAACAGTGATTTGTGAGATTGCGATGAACTGAGATGTCTTTTACAGATTATAAATGCAGCGCTCTTTGCTGGCATTCTGCCAAACCATGCACCAGCAGCCGCTTGCTTTAGTTAAAAATAACAGTGTTCTGTGAATGTTGATGCTTTAATAACATATTTATCGGGAGCGTGAATGCTGGGATTTCATAAATTTCATGGAGAAAAAAGTAACGTAACTAGTAATGTAACCAATTACTAATTACTTTTGAAATAAAGTAATCAGAACAATAACGTGATTACTTTTAAAAGGAGTAATCAGTAATCAGTAATTTGATTACATTTTCAGAGTAACTTGCCCAACACTGTACATAAGTTACACATAAAGTTAGAAAAACAAAGTTTCTATTTCAAATAAATCCTGTTCTTCTGAACATTCTATAAGTTTCATGTTTCCACAAAAATATTAAGCAACTATTTTCAACATTGATAACAATAAGAATTTTTTCTTTGAGCAGTAAATCAGCATATTAGAATGATTAGAAGAATAAGCATATTAGAAGGATCAAGTGATACTGAAGACTGAAGTAATGACTGCTGAAAATTCAACTATGCCATATAGGAATGAATTACATATTAAATAAATAAAATAAAATATATTTAAAATTGAAAACTATCGAACGATAGATTTTTTTAAGTGTAATAACATTTCACAATTTTACTTCTTTTTACTTCTTTTTAATCAAATAAATGCAGCTTTGATAAGCATAAAAGATTTCTTTTAAAAATGTGTTTGAATGGTAGTGTATGAACATTCAAAAATAAATATGTATTATATATTTTATACATTTCTTTGTCATTACTTGTCAAATTATGATGTATATAACAACAACAACCACAATAATAATAATAATTCATATTATTATTAACTTATCATTATAAGTCTACTACCTTGAAAACACAACTGTTTAACGCTGGACTGATAAAAACGTGAACACCACAAATCCTTGAAACTGTGTTTAAGTCGGTCAGTTAGACTGGAACAAGTTCACGTTTTTGTGTGCAACAGCATCAGCTGCTCTGTGAACAGTCCGTGGGTGAGCAATCTGAGGATGAGACTACAGTACTGCTGGAAATAAAGACACCTAGAAACAGGCATCTCTTTATTACACTATAAGGGCCCTAGTCTTTTAAACAAATGATACCATGCTAGAGAGCAGAATAAAACATCAGACCATAGAGAAATGGAGGGGTTCTGTCGATCAAAGCCCTTCCTTGTCCAGCAGCTGTCGCAACCATGTCAAATAACCCGACTAATCAACACTCCAACGCCTGAGTGCTTCTGGGTAAACAGATGGAGGCTTCAACACTCTGTATCTAATCGACCATCACTGATAAAGCAGCGGCTGAATCCCTAGAATGACAAATAGAAGAAATTCTCTAAAAATCAACAACAATGGTATACTGAATTTGTAAAGCAACTCCGGGTAAACAGAACTGATGTGAGAATGTTCCCCTCCTTAAAGAGCAACAGTGTGGGATTTTTTTAGGGTCTTGCATCTTAGGAATGAAAGCACTATTATGCAAAAGGTGTTATTTATTACTGCTCCAATCACGTATAAAAACATGATTGGATAAAGTTGTCCTCTTTAACATTGATCAAATCACCATCTTTACATACTACTCTTACCATTTCTGCAGTGTACAGTATGCAAACCTCAAATTGTACACAACTTTTTTTTACACATAAAACACATGGAATAACTACAGTCAATACCAGTGTATGGACAGTAAACAAACAACATAACACACATGCACAGGTTAAGGTATCCCACACTGCCATATCTGATCGAATACATGCAGCATACTAATATACATTTTGAACATAGCCAAACATTTGGCCTTGATGCGTTGCCCGAGGAAAACAGCCCGTCCAAAAAAACACAGGCCTAAATCATCTCTGAAGCAAAAAACAAAATATAGTTCATTTTTATTAATGTAATAACACACTGACTCATCTTAAAAATAAAAATAAATTAGTGGCAACAGACAGCTGAAACAGATGTCCTGCCTTAAAAAAGTCTTTGAGATCAGTTCGCAGGTGGCGCTTGTCTTGCATGAGAAGGAGCAACATGAGGTATTCTAAAATGAGACATCTCAAAGGGTCCATGCTGGGGTTTTTTCAACACTGAACACATGGCATAGATATCTGCATCTACAACTCATCAGGAGCGGATAGAACTTCAGCCACTCAATATTTAAATGTTGGCCGATGTTAAAAACAAGAAAAATGTTCCAACTGATGTCCTTTTTGGATGTCCCTTATGCACCATTTGTTAATTCCAAACTTAATCAGCAATATTTTTTAAAACAGCATCTGTTTCTAGCTGTACTGTTTTAATTAGTCAGATACATGTTTGTTGATACTGGCTACAAAATTAATACAAATCAGTGAATCATATGAACAAATATACTAGAAATACTTTATCTCAAAATAAGATAGATAGAACGATAGATAGATAGAACGATAGATAGATAGAACGATAGATAAAACGGCAGACAGACAGATAGATAGATAGATAGATAGATAGATAGATAGATAGAGACAAAAAACGAATGGTAGAACAAACGAACAAACAATAGGCAGAAGGATTGATAGAATGATAAAATGAACGATAGATAACTATAGAGAACAAAGGATAGAACGAACAAGCTCTTGATTTGTTCATGAAATATACCTGGACATTTCATGGCAGTTTTGAAGGGACTCACCCAGAAAGTGTAAGAGTGACATTGTGGTCCCAGTGCTTGGACTGTGTGACTCAAATTGCTCATTTGGGATTTTACAACATTAAAGAGCCCTTGAACTGTGTCCTTGCTCTGAGGAGACACCCTGCAGCTCGAACCAAGAACAATTAATCACCCCTAAACACGTAACAGGCAAGTGTGGATTATTTAATGTCCAGAGAAATGCTGTTCATGCTAAGATTACTGGCCTAGTCTGTTTCTTACATCCCCGAAACAACCCACACTAGTTCACGCTTTGAACTCTGCTGCAACTGCAGCTGCCCACAAATAGCAAATAAGATTGAATAAAACATGACTTAGTGGTCATTGAACACAGAGTCCACTGCGCTCTGCTCCCGACTGCACACTTTGAGGAGAGGTTATTTTTGTTTCCCCCTTCCTTTTATCACTATATTTCATCCTCTCAGCCTCCTTTAGTTTAAGAAACAACAATCTTCCCTTAACAGCTATGTCTAGAAAAAAAGGAAAGAGCATATAGAATAAACTTGCCTGGTTCCTAATAACTCCCCCAACTCTCTGCCCATCCTGTTTTGGAGCAGATCAAAGGTAATAATCCCCCATAATCCTCTGGTGTGCCCTTGCTGTTGTTATGGTCATTATAGGCTGCCGCATTGTTGCTAAGCTATCACGATTGTTCAGAGGAAAGCTACACTGGCTCAGTTTCACAGTGTAATGCCTATTTCATGGATGGACAGCCACTAGGATAATTAGATGGGCCCAGAGCGGACACAGCAACAACGTGCTTCTCGGACAGAGAACAAGGCCTCATTTTTGCAAACTAAGGGGTCAGGGAGGGTACAAAACACTCTTTGTTAAGGAAGTATAACAACTTTGTGTGTTACTTCGAAAGTTAGAGTGGATACAAAAATGAAGTGAAATCCTGAGTGAAGAAACTAAAAAAGCATGGAAAAAAAGAATAAATAAACTAGGTTTACACTTACCAAAGTGTTTTTGCATTGCAGTAGGCTTCATTTTTTCTCTCTCTCTCTCTAAAAAATTTGACCCAGGCATTTCAAGAACACTTTTCATGTTGATCTTTAAAAAGTGCAAAAAAAATCTAGTTAATCTCTCTTTTGCCCCAATTCAGATCATGGTAAGAATCTGAATGATGGCAAAAGCTGCCTATTAGAGTACATGATTTTCTAAGATATTCTCGTCTACATAAGTAAAAAATAAAAAAAATTAAATTGAACAACAGCTACATAGGTTGGCAAATGGCATACGCTGTTTAATAGTTTACGGAACCATACGAGGATTGTAAAACTGTGACACATATGCAATCATGATAGCTGCTTTTGTCTTTGCCAGAGCTGCTGTCAGAGGAGCTGTTACTATTTGTTGGCTGCATGCAGAACAAATTCTTTGGACGGAGGAGAATGTAAATTTAAATGGCTTCTGCAGATTACAACTGTGTTTTGGTTAAATGATGAGGCGGCAATTACATACAGAGCCAAAGTAAAGTTTTTCCACTTCAATTTAAAAAAAAAAAAAAAAGTGTACCTTCTGCAAGTCTAAATTTTGATATGTAACAGTTTCTCTGAGGCTATTGGGTTTGCCTGGTGCATAAAGGTTGTCAAATGGGACTTTTAGCATGCAACCATCCTAACCAGGTTTGGCGCAACGAGGCAAAAAGCAATAAAAATTATCACTCTTTAGGTTTTGTCCTAAGCAGCACAGCTGCGACAAGTGGTAGGATGAAATTTTGCTTCAAAATCTTACTTTATGACGTAATCAACCGTATGTTAAACATCAACTGTCCTTTTCACTTCCAGTGTAGATGGACAAATTATTTGTCGCTGGAAACTTCACACCTGGTTAAGATAAGAACGTCAAGTTTGACAGCTTGACATTTTACCTGGTTTATTGTAAACTTTACCAGAAATATCCATAACAATCAATTGTTTTATGCAGTAAAACCTTGGAAGTGATCAGTTAACCAATCTACAAGACTTAACTAAAGAATAGCAGTGGGATTTATTCTCGATTCCTCACTGTACATCCTGTTTTTCCCAATAAAGATAGAGAAAGTCAACTCACCATTAGAGGGGGATACGGGGCCTCACGGCAAACCGGTCACAGCTATAGGGGCAGAGTTGGAAACGTTCTCCTTTGGGCAGAAGCCCATGTCCCATCTCCTTAAGATTTAAACCGCATAGGCTCTGTATAAGAGGCAGAAAACAAAAGCAGCATATCAGAAGCATGATAACAAAAACAGCGTCCGTCATTTTCCAGACCCTGTCGTGAGCCAAATAAACTAGCATCTTGTCTGAAAGCCTATGTATAGCCCCACAAATCCCACCGGCACCTTCAACGGCATGTTGCCAGTGGCTCCTAGGAAGGAGTGGTGTCAATGTGTAACCTTCATAGCACTAAAAAACATGGAACACTACACATGCAATTTAACGAACACATAACGTGCACATTTACACTTCTGCACACATGGGAGACAAGTTTCTCTCTAGAGAGACAAGATGATAAAGTGTGTGTGGGGGGGGGGAGGGGGAATATGAGAGTAGAACAGCTGCCAACTTCTTGACATAAAAACACCACAAAGCAAACAGATCATCAATTATCTGATGGCACAGTTAGCCATGTTTGCTAGGGCAAGAAGCACTATTAGTATTACCTACATAGGCTTATTAGGAAAAGGACCTTTTCCTACAATTTTGCTAAGCTCCAAAAAAGTACCTATTCATACAATTCACTGCTTTTATATCTTTTCACACAAATTATGATTACAGGGACACATTTTTGATTAACTAAGACTTATGCTGCATTCCCGCCATATCGTAATTAGCTACTGTAATTTCGAAATGACAACATGTGGCATTGTACTTGGAGCTGTTCGCATCCTTGGACTCAGACACGGAACTATCGCACTATCAATGCCTAAACATCCTAATGAATCTGAGGTGGTCAGGTGGTACAAGTCGTAGCTTTCAGAAAACTCCCAGTTCACAAGTTGCAATTACAAGTTCTACGAGGAAGTGAATGCTTTTTACAAGTTGGTTTATCGTAATTGTGGTAATTACGATATGGCGTGAACACACCTATATTTTCATGCAGCCTCTTGCACAATACAATCCCAGTGGCCTCAACTTTTACCATAGTGCATGATTGGTAAAATAATAAATTTGCATCACCTCTAATCCATTCCATATGTTTGGCCTTTCTGACATAGTAAACTTGCTCTGTAGCGCACCTGGTGCAGCACTGAACTTGATGTGGAGTGCTCGCATATGTATTTTTATTTCACGTTTGCTTTTGTTAACATTAGATTAGGTTTAGAGTAGCTTCTCACCAGACTTTAATTTTTGCGATATTTGTTGCGATACGTAAAACAACTAGTGTAATAAAACATTGTTTGATTCGCGTTCATCTTTTTCAGATAAAACTGGATGAACATTGAGCATTTCACTTAAATGAAACATGCAAAGCGACGTAATAATTTACAGAAATGTCACCACAAGCATATTTTTCCAGAGAGTCTGGCGTTCGGCTGGAACTTTATTCGAGTGACTATGCATTCGGCTGGGATGAGTATTACTCATACTTAAAGTCTGAAGTTACACCCCTTTTCAACTTGGCCAGCAAATAACTACCGAGCAAACACCCAGAAAACCTCAGCAACCACCTGGAAACCCCCAGAAAATCCTAGCATTATGTTTGCTACATTGCTCTAGAAAACACCTCTTACATATTCTTCAGAAAATGTATAAATCAATTCTGAATAATTCTTTTTATAGTTTAAATGCTCAATCTGGATAAATAAACAAATTCGCCTCTGTGGTTTTAATCCCACATTAAGTGTAAATACAGTGTCTTTGTGGCGCTATCAAAACATTGCTCTGTTTGTTTGCACTTCACATTTAGCCCGACAACAGAAACGTTGGCTCAACCAATGAAATGTGCTTAAGGCAGGGCTAACTGCTTGACTGAACAATGGCAGATGGGGGGAGTGTTCATGAATCCTGTGTGCACACAATCCCGTTTGTAATGCCTTTTTGGTAATGTTGGTAATTTTTCAACATTTTACAGTTTCATTTACTTTGCTTTTTTGCAAATGCACCTTCCAGACGGCTGCCAGAGGCTCTGGAGAGCAGTGGGCAAACAAACTTCTCGTCTTTCCGTGCTGATATACGGCCATGTTGTGTGTATTGTGTGGGTGACACCTGAACCCCTTACAGCACAGAAAAGGGACACAGATACGGCAAACCATAGCCAAAACATGAGGCCCGACAGATGAGCCGCGCCTTACGTTACCTGCAGACCGCGTGTGGCGGACATCTGCCGATGTCATCAGCACCTTCGATAAAGAAGGAGATAAAGCATATTTTGCTTTTCAAACAAAGGGATCTGGAATCTATATATGACAAATAGGTGATTCAACACATGCAGATTTTAAAGTGGGTGTGAAATTTGAGTAGATAAACTGAAAGTATTGTTCAGTATAGCCAGATGCTGTCTGAACATTAAGAAAGAAAGTGAGACAAAAAGAATGTATCATGTTTTTCCAGTAATGACAATGAAAAAAAAAATATACGATTGAGGAATGACAGTGCACTTTATGTTGCAGAACAAAATGTCAAAGTCTATTCAAGTAATGAGTCTTTCATTTACTCAGAACCACCATTCTAAAAGCCCACAGGGAACACATGGTGAATTAGCCTTCTGGGTTAGCCTACAAATTAACATCATGACTGAACAGCTCTATCTGTTTGGATACATTTGTGGTTCAGAAATTACACATTTCGCCTGAAATACTTGGAATTGTTTTTGTTCTTTAAATTTTTAATGTTTATTATCATTTTAAACTGCTCTATACTACTTGCTCTATAGGATGTAACATTGCCATCCACTTTTTTTAGCAACAAGAAGTATTTTTCCCATTGACTTTCAACCAAATCAACCAGCTACAAGGTACATTAAATCACAATACTACAAACTTTGATTCGAAGTGAAAAAAGTATTCGAAAATTGGACAAAGAAAGCTAAGGTACACGACTGAGTGCTAAAAGCTTAAAAAAATTTTTTTTTTTAATTCCATGAAGCAGTGCAAATGACAATCGAATTAAAAAAGGCTAGAAAAATATAAAGATTTAAAGATGTTGATTATAGATACAGAAACAATATATTAGAGTCAATCTCCCTTCGCTAAACTCTCAAACTACTTAAATATTTGTGTGTATATATATGCATCTTTCACATTTATAGCTAAATATTAGGGATGCACCGAATGTTCGACAACCGAAATTATTTGGTCGAAAATAGCAAAAAAAAGCTCTTTCGGTGTTCGGCCGAATAAGCGAAAAGACCGAATAAATTGTACCGAACAAAGACGTGACGCGATCAAATAGAGGCGCGCGCTAATGCAGCAAACATGACGGCAGAGTGGAAACTGTCTGAGCTGAACTGTTTAAAGCTGTCTGAGAAAGACGCAGAAATCATTACAAGCACCGACAGCGAGAGACTGTTTAGTACTGCATTGCATGTCTTCGATGAGAAGAGGAAGGGTGGTTGTTGCTGGTTACTGTATGATGATTAAAATCGCGAAATGCCCTTAAATAATTAAATAAACTGCAGAATTTTATGTTTTCTAATACACGCAAGAATTGCACGTGTTCTAACGGCGCTGCATGAGCTCGCGGCGGCAGGGTTCAAAGTCCAACGCGCGAGGGAAATCTGCGCTGAAACTGTAACTCATCAGCTGCTCAGTAACATTTTTATGAATTTTTACAAGGCATTGTTGTTCTGTAAAACAAAATAAAAAAAAGAAAATAATAATGAATATAATAATTACAACAGCTCTATTAAAACATTTATTGTAACATTTACACATAGTGTTCAGACTAGGATCTATAATATTTTCTAATGGTTTAAAATAAGTCTTTTCTGCTCATCAATGCTGCATTTATTTGTACGGCAAAAAATACATGGTTCAAGAAGGGGGTCTAAAAATGGCCAAAAATATTATTTTACTAACTTATTAATTTTAAGTTAAGTTGTGTTTTATTGGTATAATGTCTGCTAGAATGTAAAAAAAAATTTCAGTGTTAAGTAAATATTTTTAAATTGTTGTTTTGTAAATGATTTTTTCTTTGAAAAGCAAGACAAAACAGTAAAAAGCACATTTTGGCTATTAATTTATGCAAGAATTTTCATTTCAGTGCATCCCTACAAAATATGCATGTATAGATATATGCAAATATCTAAGTAGATTGAGAGTGTAGAGAGACTGACCATGTCATTTGCAGTGAATCATAGAAGTGATCAGGCACTAAAGAGATCTTCTGGCACAACTTGTTAATTGCAATTCTCAGATTGCTGGAGATTTTATTGCAGAATTTAGAATTCTGGATTTAGGATTTAGAAATCAATTTTTAGATATAAAGAATATTATTTCTAATAAATAAAATAATTGCTGGCTGATGGCTACAACCAAACTGTATAAAATTAATTAATAATCTCATAACTCAAGCTTAAGTTATTGTTAAAAACAGTTCCTCTAAGGAGAAAATGAATGGGATTTTTAGTTCTGGAACCCGGCTGATGCTCTCTACATGCAGCTCAGGAACAAACAATATGCATGTATTATGTGTAATTCCAATGCAGCAACAGATAGGGAGAGAGAGACTCACATGCTCTCACCCACAGTAATTTTCCATATAAGCATATGCATATTCTTGTAAACATAAAAACAAATGGCATGCTTAAAGCATAGAACATACATATTCACACCCACACAAACAGACACATCAACTGCTTCAGTGAGACGAGACGCATTCTGAGCAACACGGAGCAGGATGTACAGTAATTGGCGAGGTGGGGAGGTGCAGCCAAGCCTCAGCATCATGCACACTGATCTCTGTCCTGTTCAAGAGTTTGCAGCAAGGAATAAAGAGAAGTTTATGCAGGTCATTGTACACCTATACATTCATACAATTTTGAAGCGTGGCCCAGTGGTTAATGCACATGCTCTGAGACACTGAGCTGTGGTGCTCATGTGGGTGATGCAGGTTTGAGCCTGTTTCACAATCACCTAAAGTGCTTCCATTCATAACCATGGCCAAAAATGAAATGTAATAAAATAAAAAAATAAGCATAAAAAAATAAAATAAATAAATAATGAATGAATGAATGAAAATACAGTACAAATAAC